TCTCTCTCTCTCTCTCTCTCTCTCTCTCTCTCTCTCTCTCTCCTTCTCTCTCCCTTCCCCTCCCTCCCTCTCTTTCTCTCCTGGGCTAGACCCGTTCTCTTCCCTGAGAATATATCACTAATGAACCTTGTTTGCGTATTAATCAGCTTGCTGACCTTTGATTCTTCACTGTGTTGACAAGAACCAACACTCCTGTAACACCAGCACCTAAATCTCTTTGCAGAGAGTTTTCTGGGTCACCAGTGCCTATATGCCAAGTGTTAGATATTGACTCTCCCTGTCTTTGTGGGAACAGCCTTCAGTGGATCATTGACAGGAAGTGGCTACCAATGAATGATAAAAGTACTCTAGGTCCCTTGCACCCCAGGTAGGATGCCTATCACCTTACCCTGATCTATTTTTCTTTATAGAAAATATCATTATTTGACATTTAAATATATTTTATATTTAGCTGTTTGTGAGCTGTCTCCCCCAATGGAATATAAAGTCTCATGAAGGAAGCCATATTTGTCTGTTGTGTTTATCGCATTTATCCCTAAGCACTTCAGACAGGGCCTAGTGCATAGTAGATATTAATAAATTTCTTTTGAATAAATTAAGAAACAATGAAAAATGCACACAGGATTAAAAAAACAACTATTTATAGTGGCCACTTTGGGAAGGGGAACTGGAAACTTGGGTGTCAGGTGAGAGAATAAGAGAGACTTACTTATCACTTCTCTATGTCCCAGGACCTTCAAACTTCTACAGCACCAAGAGTCCAGGCAGTGATCTTCATAGTGCTATAGACAAAAATGGTCTGCAAGAGTGAAGAACAGGTATGTGAGAACAACTGTACAGATTTACCTTTCTTCCTAAAAAAAGAGGAGGCATTGTTAACAATGAATTCATAGATTTTGAGTACATGTACGAGGTCAGAAAATTAAGTTCATAAACTTGTTGCAAAAATGTTGCTAACCTTTTTTTTATATCAGGGATTATTCATTATGAATTTGTACCAACTGGACACACAGTTAACCAAGTTTATTATTTGCAAGTGCTGAAAAGACTGTGTGAAAAAGTTAGACGACAGAACTTTTCACCAATTCATGGCTCTTTCATCACAAGAATGTACCAGCTCACACGGCACTGTCTGTGAGGGAGTTTTTAGCCAGTAAATAACTGTATTGGAACACCTTCCCTACTCACCTGATCTGGCCCCCAATGACTTCTTTTTTTTACCCAAAGAGAAAGGAAATATTGAAAGGAAGACATTTTTTATGACATTCAGGACATCAAGGGTAATACAATGACAGCGCCGATGGCCATTCTAGAAAAAGAGTTCTGCAATTGCTTTGAAGGGTAGACTAGGCGCTGGCACCAGTGCATAACTTTCCAAGGAGAGTACTTCAAAGGTGACCATAGTGATATTCAGCAATGAGGTATGTAGCACTTTTTCTAGGATGAGTTCACAAACCTAACTGTCAGACCTTGTATATCATTTATAAATTACATTATAGTCCTGTGTAGAAGGCATTTGCAATCCTGTGCACCAAGGTTTTCCCTCACAGCTTCCTGGGAGTTCTCAGATTCAGCTCACCTTACTCCCTCCCTGTAGGCATTTTACTTTAGGACCCTTTTCTGACTCTGTTTCTCCACTTCAGCAGAATCATTTCTACCTGATAGCCATGAAAAGTGCTGAAATTTGCTAATAATTGGCTGAACTAAAAGATTGAGATCAGAGCTATCCCTATCTTAACACTACACTTCAATCCTATTGAGTAAAGGGAATAGGGATAGAGCAGATGGAGCAGATGTTGGTACAACCATGCTTAACTAGAGAGTACGTCCCTGTGAATCACAGTCCCTCAGGTGTGTCCTGGCTGAGAACAAGCTGCAAACCACTGATCTGTAGTCCGCAATTGTGTACCTTGATTTTCTAATTATATAGACCCCTGTGGTACATATGTATCTACATTTCGTTGTTGTTGGGTTTTTTTGTTAAAGCAAGTCAGAAACTTTATTCCTTGGCTAAGGAATGGAGAAAGATAATCAAATGCCTTGTGATTCCTTGTCCCCAGTCCTAGGGAATTAGGAAAATAGTAAAGGGTCTGGGGGGGCAGGTAGGCTGGTTCAGGAGTGAGGATTCCTGAGGAAGGGTAAAGATCATAGACACTTCTTGTAAAGACTCCTTTGTGTACAGTATTTCTGAGCTCTTCAGAATATCAGGTATTAAAAATATTTATTATAGACTTGTTGGTTGACTGATTAACATTAAAAAGCATGAATATTGCCAGTAACTTATAATTATGTCACCATGGTTGTATAGTTGTATATCACCATAGTTAAGTATATAGAAATAATAAAAAAAACACAAAAAACCTTGCGTACGTACACACACACACACACACACACACACACATACACACACACACAGATGTACCTTTAGAAAAAACAGGAAGAGTGTCTCAATCATACCTGTTTACTCATAATGCCTAGGGAATGGCTTTGCTATAAATGTACACTATAATAACTAGGTAAATGGATGAATAAATAAAGTCCACAACATCCACCTTGATAATAATCATAGATACTACTAATATTTATTAAGCACTAACTGTGGGTTGGCCATTGAGCTAAGTCTTTATCATCATTTTCTCATTTAATCTTCACAATAATTATATATGAGCAGTTTTTATAATATTATAACTGAGAAAATGGGGCTTAGAAAGTCAAACAAGTAGTCCACAGCCACATAATTACTAAATGGCAGACCTGGGATTCAAGTCCAAAACTAATCCCAAAGCCAGTGGTCTTTATTAAGCAATAAAGACAAAACAAAACAAAACAAAACAAAACAAAACAAAACAAAACACTCTCTGGATGAGAAGATATTGAAATTTCTCCAATAAAATACTCCCATTCAATGACTCAGTTGTTTCTGAAAATAAGCTATAAATCAATATATTCTGCAAGAGCAGAAGTTGAACATGCCATTAGCAAAATCAATAGGGAGAGAAAAGTCAAGGGTCTTTAGAATAGAGCTCAGGACAGGTTGAAGTACATGGTCAAGAGAAATGAAAACACACATTTTAAAAACTTAATCAGAAGTTAGAGATAACCTTGAAAAATAGTAGACAATTGGAAATTGTCTGTTATAAAAATGGGAAGTTATTTCTCTGCCACGACTTCTATTTATTATAGATAAAATGTAGTGATTGAACATTTTTTTAATACAATATAAAGAGTTCAGTCTCATTCATCCAACAGGAACATTTCATATATGACCAAGGCACAGTTGGGTGAAAGAGACGCAACAGTTGGAAGGCTTAGGTGCCACTTGCAAGGAGTTCATTATCACTGGAGAGGTTGAGGAGACTACACACAGCTGGAAGAGAATGCCAAGTCAAGTGATGCCCCACCCGGTGGGTCCTGCCAGCCAGGCAGAGAAGTTTGGACTGATGGCTGTCAAATGGGAACTTCAGGGCAGCAAAGGGTTAAGGGGTCACTCTTTGCCTGGGCTGCATACACCACCATATTTTGGGTACTCACCACTGAGAAAAAGAGATGTGGTAAAAAAAAAAAAAAAA